AGATGCCATCTTTAAGCACAGTTGATTTACTGCTGTAACCACACTAAACCAGAAGTGGGGAAACCCTATCTCAGTGCAGATGTAGCCACTAGTGTGGAAATTTTGTGCTGTATGTGGGTTCTGTCACCCACCCTGGTCCTGATAATTTCTGGTCTGGTGTGGACTAGCAGCAAACAACATGGAGTGTGGCCTAGACTCCATATGGCTTGCAAGTTCCAAGGGCTCTGATTCAGTGTGGCTGACACTTGCCTGTTCTTAGCTCTGGAAGTGACTTTAGCGGACAGGAAGCAGTGGACCTAAATGTTTTTAGAAGTCAGGGTACCTCCATTTCATGGGGGCCTTCAGGTAACATGCCGTGTATTCTAAGGTTCATGTGATTTCTGTCTGTGGGCATAAGAAGATACCAAGCAGCAAGCACAACTTTCTCTTTGCTAGCAGGGTCCATTCCTAGAGTGCCTTGACATGTGGAAATTCCCCCTTTCAAAGCAGAAACTGGGAGAAACTAGAGATGTGCATTAGAAAAGCTGAAAGAACGATCCAAAATGCTATGACAAGTCTCACAGTGAGAATTTAAGATGATGCACTTCTGTGTTTAGATTACACAAGGGAAGCTTAAAAAAATAACTTGGTGGTCTGCCAGAGGAAACAAACGAAGGAGGATTTTAAACAAATAACCTATTTATTAGCAGTTTCAGTCTGCTAGATCAGAACACTGAGAAACACATCCAACTCACTCTTGTAATATATAAACAAGGCACAGAACAAACTGGATGTATTTTTCAGTTCAGATAGTCAAAAAGGATTTCACATCTTTCTGGCTTAGTGGAAAAAGCCAAGATACTCACCAGACTGCAGACATCCCCACCATAACTCTTAAGTAGGAGGTGTTTGTTCATTGGAGCTTTCTACGCAATTGGTCATCTTTTCCATTTCTAAGAAACATTTAGGACCATTCAGCAGTTGTACGGATGTCACTTTTTTCCCATTAGATTGCAACTGAAATGCCCAGTTATTTCCATGTTCTTGCTCAATGCAAAGTTTTCAGGCAGACTGAAAAAGACCAAATGATTTTCTGATGATTTGGTATGATCATGGTCCAGTCTTTTCCCATCCAGAAATATATTTTAAGGACAACTGCAATACATAAAACATCTGACAGAAGAATTGTTCGGATGGTTATATAATTTAGCAGAGATACAAAGCAGAATTATTAAAGTCTTAGAACCAGTGCTTTTTTTTGTCATAGAACACACCAGAACAGAGTTCTGGCACCGTTTTTTGACAGATTTTCCAAGTTTTAAAAGTAACTTTTGAAAATTTGATGTTTGGTCCACGTGGGTTTGAATCGCCCTGTTGAGTATAGCAGGTCAGCAGCAAAATCATTAAAACGGTGCACGCGGGCTGCTTGTGTGTCGAATCCAATGCATGCGTACTTCATCCACGCTGGTTGTGATGGCGCTGCTCATCTTGTGGTGCTGTTCAGCTTGTGATTGGTCGTGTGGTTGCACGCTGAGTGCTTACTGCGGCAGCGACTGTTATGTTTCGTTACACAACTGATGTGTGAGGGTGTATGTACAGTGATTGACTACATGTGAAAGGTAAATAATTTCATGAGTTCCAGCACCATTTTTCTTACAAAAAAAGCACTGCTTAGAACTAAACAAGACTATTTAGTTTAGGGTAGAAGTAAGCATACATCCTTCATAGTGAGGATATGTGACTTAGGCACAGTCTGCACTCGGTTCTGATAGTTGAATAGTTTGTTGAAACAATGAATGGGTAATTCATTGAAAAATGAACAATTCCAATAGTTTGAATTGTTCATTGAAAGAAGGTTGCTTAGCTCTCTATTTAATCTATTTCTCTGATTAATCTGGTGGTTCTCCTGCCTTGATTTATGCAGAGCCTCTGATAGGATCGTTATAAACTATTCTTTTGGGTTTAATGGGGCCAGATTAATCACTATTTTGGTCCCAGAGAAAACAAACACTGGGGCTCTCCATAGGAACCACTGCTCATACATACTGTACACCGTCTAGAGTAGCCTAACAATGCAACTATATATGAAAAATAAAAAGGCAGGCATCATGTTGTTATACCCCTATTTTGTTCCAATACTCACCTTGCAAATACGATGCAGAAATGTTACTAGACAGGGCCAACTTTACCATTGGGCAGAATGAGGCAGCCATGTCAAGCAGTGGATACTGAGAGATGGGGAATGGCAGCAACATGTGGCCTGTAGGTCACAGTGGTTTATGATGCGTGGCCCATGCTCTCAGCTAATTCCTTAAAGCATCATCCCTGAATGCAGCGGAAGACGGTGTCCCATCGCTGGCCTTGAACTCTGAGTCAGTTGCCAGTTGACTGCCGTATGTGGTATGGAGGGGGCATTAGGCCTTAGCCACAGGCAGAAAAACATTTTGGGCTGGACCTGTGATTAGGCCCCAGTACAGGAGGACCGGAAATTAGTTGGGTACTATCGTTGTACTATAGAATAGGTGGTTGCATTGTAGCTCAACGGGGCAAGGCCTTCCCTCCGAGTACTGTAAGAGTCGGTGAAAGGTTTTTCTCACACAGCAGTCCTCCCTCACTCCTCCTGAAAATAATGGCCATGACTAGGGTGAAGACATGGGCTTTCCTCCTCCTCCCAGACACCCCTCAGGAAGCAAAAGCGCCCACTGGGGTGGTTAAATACACATCCCGTTTAGGCCCCTGTTGTTGATTTCTCTGCCCCCACTTAAAATCTGGAAAGGAATCTGTCCAAAAGAAAAACATGGGATTGTGTAAAATGTGTAGGAGAGGGAATGGGTGGGCCCTGTCCCCGATGGGGAGAACGGCGGAAGCACTGAGGCAGGATAGACTCATCCAGGCTAGGCTGGGCCTGGGCGTGGTGCAAAGAGGAAAATGCCGCGGGAAAGTCTTTAATGAAGCGCGAGCGGCCAGGGCCGGGCTGCCTGTTTCATGGGTGAATCATCAAAGTGGGAGGCACTGGCATGAATAACGGGGTAGGCTTCCGTGGTGACTATGCAGGCATGACCACCTTCCTAGTCTTGTCCTAGAATGAGAGGATGCACAGAGATGCTTCAGCATCAGACAGAAGCAAAAATATACAGTTCAGCAAGCCAAATGAAGCCACATTTGTGGCATGCCCACCAAAGAAATGTGGATGTGTGTAGGCAATGAACATCCTTTCCACACATGCCACTTCTAGCAACCCAGAATGCATGTAGCTGTGTACTTATGAATTCATGGCTATCTACTCCTTTTCTATTATAATTCTATTATAATCTCACTCTTGAAATACTAACATATTCATAATTAGAAATTTCAAGACACATTAATAAGCTTATGAAAGCCAGTTCCTCTGTCAGAGTGATAAAGCTATATCACCATAAAACTTCCCAGAAAAGCTCCGGCTTTAGGTACACAAGAAATAAATGCCAAGTTTCTCCTTTGTGAAATAATATGCAGATAGCTAACATATCTATTGAACAGATAGTCAGAAATGAAGTGTACAGCAATGAGCCCAAACCATTAATCCAACTCTCTTACCAACCCATTCCATCCACATGTAACAAATGTTTGAACTGACTAGAGGATGGGAGGTGGAATCCAGCACATTTGCAGGACCCCATTTGGGGGAAGGCTGATGTAAAATGCTAAACTACTTAAAACTTAGCTTTGACTAAAAGAAGAAAAAAACCTCTAGTTCTGAATTCTGGCAGGCCAATGTGGATTAATTTTCTCTCAAAGAGGTACATTATGTGCTGTCCATTATTATGACTATGCAACCCTAACTGGGAGTTTGCTATGGCTTTTCATGCTGTGTGAACCAGCTGGGGAGGGACATTCTAGGGATAAGCAATCCTTGTGTGACCCTAGAACAGACCGTGGGTTATAAAAGGCTAGTTTAACCTAGGATAACCCTCCCAGGCTTGCCTCACACATGACAAGCCACAGCAACCTTTGGTTGGTGGTTTAATATTCCTCATGGTGGACAGATGTGCTGCAGCTCTTCAAAGGCAAATTAACCCAAAATGAGCTGCTATATCATGTGAACAAACTCCCAATGGACTGCCATGTCCAAACCTCTGTGAATTTGGTTGGAATCCTTAGAGAAATGCCGCCACCCCACTCCCCATACACACACACACACTTTCCTCCCAGGAACTTAATACAATCTACCGGTAGTATGGCAGATCGTAGGGGAAGGAGAAACTGAGGAAAAGACGTCATGATGTCAAAGCCATTATTCCTGAGATCAACCTGGCTGATGGTCTCCGTTTCCACTTTCTGTTGCACTAAACTGTTCTGTTGCACTTTCTGTTGGGACTAAACTAGATACGATATTGTGTGAATACAATTAACAGGTATGTTTTTTTACAATGTCAAAAGCAGCTGCACGAGGGAGCGGTTCAGGGCTGTGAGAGAGGAGGGGACACTTAACCCTTTCGCCTCTGCTGAGCTCCTAACGAAAACATGCACACATCCTGAAATGGATGTTTATATTGGGCGGGAAGTCTCCATTGGTCCTGGTTGTTTCTAATTGCAAGCAGACAGTGGGGACCATTGGATAAGAGAAAACTTTCTGATGGGGTGACAGTGGTCAGAGGGCAGTGAAATACTTCTGCTTGCCTGAAGAGAACAAAGCTGTGCTGCCCTGGTGGGGCAAGTGGTGGTGGCAGATGGGATAGAAAGGCTGTTTGGTAATGCGTTTTTGCAGCTGTACCCTTCCCTTCACCTGAGGGGTTAACTGAGGGAGGACCAAGTATCAGAAGACCACCCCAGACCATTGCCACTTAAGTCACACATTCTCTTCCTGAAAATCTAAACTGCATAGTCCCAGGATCAAGATTATCATCGGTGTGGGGGATATAAGCATACATGCAGATGCATCTGGTTCCTGCAACTTCTCCCGGGAATGGTGGGATGGGGCGGGGGGGGGATGGGCAATGCAGGCTTTGCTCCCCCTGTCACAATGCTCCCTTCGCCCACAGCTCCTTACAAGTGTGCTCCCTGCAGGAGATTCGTGGGGGATCCTTGCCTTCCTGTGTGCCACGCTCTGGAACCTGCCTGTGGTGCCCGCACTGAACAGCACGGACCAAGTGACTACCAGACAGTCCATCCAGCAGATGTACGACCTCACTCGCTATCTGGAACACCAGCTGCACACGCTTGCGGCCACTTATGTGAGTGCAGTGGGTTACTGAGTTGAGAGAGTGGGTTACCGCGTTGAGTAACCTAGTAGAAATGTCTTTCCCTTCCACTTGCTCCCCACCCACCCCATGACTTCCCATCTGCCCTCTCCTCACCCTGTTCCTGCCCAGCCTTTAATTCCCACAGCTCCGTAAATGGTGCCTCCCTGTCTCTCCTGACTTTGATGCTGATGTTGTAAAGTGAGGTGAGGTTGGCTTTCCCTCTGGGTCAAAAGCTCAATGGATCACAGGCACACATGCACAGACATCCTGCATTCTGAAAGGGAAGATGAGGGCATCAAAAGGTGACAGAGCTTGCCTCTGCTCTGAATTTGGGGAAGGCATTTAGAGGCAGACACAGTAAGACCTTCTGCAACACCTCTGACAACGCAAACTTCACTGCGGAAACCGAACATCTGCAATCTCCTTATGCATGGCGAATAACTAAACTTCTGCTCTCACACAGCACAGCAGTGGCTCTTGCTTGGCAGAGTATCTGACACACTTCCCCCTCCCTGCCTTCAGGCACCGGTGGAGTCTCCCTGTTTACAATCTGTTGTGCATCTTCTGCTGCTGGGGTGAGGTGAGGCCTCGTCTGTCAGAACTCGCCAGGGAACCGCCCGGCTGCGTGGAGGGCGGGGGCTGGGGGCAGCCCCTCTTCCACCGGCGTGGTATCCCTGCTCCTTGGCCTACCTGGCATTCCGAGCCCTACCCCTTGGCACTGCTTCCTGGCACTGAGCACCAAGGATGTGAAAATAAGGGATTTGTTTGATTCTGGCCCTGGAAAATATGGGGCCTCATTGTCTCTCGCTAGCTTATATCCTGGTTCTCGAAATGCGCTTTTAAAAATGCAGACCACAAGGTCTATTGCTTTAGTTTGGACAGCAGAGAAGTGGCCTGCTACACAGCAACCTGCGAGTTGGCTGTATGTATGAACAAATTATAAACTTTGCTACAGAACTGCACGGCATTCCCAAATGACACTGAGCCATCAGTGGTAATAAATAGTTCACATCATGAACTACTGGCTGGGGACCAAATGCACATCTAACATGAAACCAACCATCGTGGGCCATGCTCTGCCCATGTTCAGCCTATTCCAGTTCCCCACTGGCAATCGCACACATGTGTTTGTGTGTGTGTATATTGAAAGAGAGAGAGAAAGATCCCAGGGCCAGGACTGTGTCACTGCCTCTTTTTCTTCCTTTTTTCTTCTTTTCCTGTCTGAAGGGGTTGAAAAGCTACAGTTCAATAGATTAGTAACTGGGATGACATTGTCTGGATTGTGCCAAATGAAACATTGATACCCTTGATAATTCATATTAACTGTCCGGTTACTGATCATTGTAGCAAATAGAATGGGAAAATATATGATAGAGACTCCTCCTAGAATATAATTCCAATTGGACACATGTCCCCATTGTGTTGTGCAGGTGCATATTCATACTGCACTGTAGGTATTTACTGCACTAATTCCATTAGGGTTTCTATGGCATGCCCATGGGGATTAACCCATATGAGTGCATGTAGGACATAATGTTATGCAAGGTAATATGAATGTATTACTTGTGATGCACTCCTCAGAATGGCATGTCTTGGTTAGTTTAGTTTTTTGCAGGTGAAATAACATTCTTGGCAATGCTAACAGTGGATTCTTTCCAGCTTGTCTTACACATATATTCATATTCAGTTTGAACACTGGATCAGCTCTGCCTTGCCCTACCCTGATGCTTCTACTTGGCTGTCCACTTTTTAAAAATTAATTAGAAGTATTTTGGTATTTATATCATACAGTCATAGGATTATGAAGTTGGAAGGGGCCTTAGGGAACATTTTGTCCAATCCATTGCTTAGTGCAGGATGAACGCATACCAATTCATCCTTCAATTTTCCTTTAAGTTACAAAAATGTTATGAGGATTTAGGTGGAAGATATATGCTAGTGAGGCTATTAAAGTTAGCCAATAGATGCTTATTACTGATTATCCCCAACAGGCTGCTAGAAAATTGCAGAACAATAGTTTTTCCACAGATGGCCTGAAAAAAATGTATATTTTTAAGGGTAGAACAGATACTTTCTCTGTCACATCTATCTTCACCCTCAGATAAGACAATGCAGGGTGAGGTCTGTGGAGGTAACCTCACTTTATGTGCTTGAAGACAGAGAGCTCTTTAGCATTCCAGCCGGAAGACATCGTGTGGCAATTCCATCTTTCCTTCCTTAACTAGAGTGGCAACTTACACATTGCCAAACAAACTCAATGCATAGAACAGATGTGTGTGAGAGAGAATGAAAAGTTAATAACCATAACCAATTTAAATATGAATACTATATCTCTTATTATAATGGAGAAGATTAACTGGTATCCTCTCCTTGGTGCCTGTTCAGTCAGCTGCCCATATGCTAACTGTGGATTTGCAACTCTTTTATCCCTTCCTCCTGACTTTTCCCCTTTAAACTAGACTTGAACTAGATGGCCCTTCAAGTCATGTACACCTTCAAAAAGAGGACTGTTTGTAGACATCTCTCCAAAGTAAAGGACGCCTGGCTACCCTACCTTAACTGATCATTTGTGAAAAGGAAAGAGATGGCAGACACAGTCGGAAAATACAGGAAGGTTCCACATTGGATGTGACATTGATCCAGTTTGCATTGGCTCTTTAAATATGTAACTTCTAATTGGTGTGATTGGAGGTTACTGTGTGACATCCAAATCCAGGCATTGTAGGTTAAATTGTGTGTTAAACAACCCAAAGTTAACCTGCATTTAATTTGGTTTCATCAATAATTAGACTGGAAACCTCAAAGACTGCATATTCAAAATGGTGGTGTCATGTACTACAGCAAATTGTGGGTTAATTAACCCAATATTTCCTGCTGCGATATCTGAACAGGCTCACTGTCTGGAGCCTATGTAAAAGTGCAATAAAGGCTTCATCCGGAGGCACCACAGCTGCATTATCTTGCCACCGTGCAAGATTTGAGTGCATTTCAGTGCAATCTCACTCCTTACAGGGTTGCTCTTTAGGAACCTATGCTATTCCCTTTTGACTGTCAGAATATTAGGGAACTCAGGCCTGAAGGCCTAAGGATAAAGGACTGCTATCAAAAGAAGGAGAATCATGGCAAGCCAAAGGAAAGTGAGGAAGAGAATAGTAATTGCCTGTGAATGGAGCATGTGAGAAACAATACCTGGAAGACCAGAGCTTATACTGTCCCCAAACACTCGACATTCATAGAAAAGTTCACAATGTTGTACTGAACATCTCTTTGCATTTTCTGGGGACAGAGTATGATGGCGGTGGTGGTGGGATTCCGTCAGTTCCCCTACTGGAATAAGAAGTTAACATACTGCCTCTCTTTAGAAGGAGTCAGAAGTTGCCTGAGAGAAAGCTCAAACCTGATGGGAATATTAGAAAAATGTGACCCGTGAAAAAGGGATGCCCCGGTGGCTCAAGGTGCAGCTGTTAAGCATCAGGAAGACGGCATAGTCTAGTGATGGGGGCAGTGCTGCTGGTTCCAGGCCTTTGGCAAGACATTCTTAATTGCCTCCCTCCTTCAGCAACTGTTTGCTTCTCCTTCTCTGTCATCGCTACTCCTTATTTGCTTGGCACCTCCACAGAGGCAGTAAGCAAGTCGGCAGGGGCATCTGCCACTGCTCCTTCTCCTCACCACTGTTCTCTGGCCAGAGTGGGGAGTGAGTAAACAAGCAAGTAGCAAGAAGAAGGGAAAGAGTTCAGGGCACTCTTGTCAGGGGTCTCCTGATGGAGCGTGGGCCTTGCCAGGTGCCCAGCCATGCTTCTCCTTGATGCAGACCCTGACTGCAGGCTCTGTGGAGAGTCTCTTACTGCCAGTAAGAGGCCCAGTACTTGTACCTTGTGTCCCCACCATAACAACACAGGCAGACTTTGCGTTTTGTTTAAAGAGACCCTCAGTCTCTGCATCTCCAGGTGCTTGTCTCCTTCCCTCCTGCTTCCCCGCAAGCAGGTTAGCCTTCAGTGATGCGTAATGATTGGCGACTGAGTGTTCAGCAGGAGGGAAGATACACATACGCTTGTGTATGCTTGCATGCTGCCACATAGCCACAGGGTCTCCGTCTTACAGGGATGGGAACCAGTTGATTCCGCTGCCTTCTTGGCTGCTCTGTGAGGGATGTTGTGAAATTTCTGCCAAGGGATTTTTATTGAAGCAGAGCTGCTCCCATATCTGGCCATGTAAGTTGTAGATAGAGAGGGCTACTCAAAATGCCAGGAAAAATTACGTAAACTATCTTGACAGCTGAAGGACACAAGGGTCACATACATATACATGGTTCTTACTCACCATGAGAAGGTGAGTTGCTTAAGTGCATTGAATCACCATAGTATACAGACATACAGTGCTTTGATCTTTCCTTGCTACTGCAAGATCTGGAACTGTAGACGTAGGGCAAATACACCCCATCTGCAGTTGCAGTTCAGCCCACCAGAATTACCCAGATGTCCTCTGCTTCTTTCCCCAACCATCACTGATTGGGTGGCTTCCCACATTTGTACAGTCCCCCACTGCAAATTCTAAGAGATGTGCCTTTCCTAAAACTACTGACGATAAGAGCCTGAAATTAAAATATGTTGGTTTTGGGGGCTCGCAACTTTTGCCTTTGGCCCTGTCTCCCCATAAGGGCTTCTCACGAATTCTGCTTAACACTGTAGCATTGGGCTAACCATCCTTTCCTTCCTTGTTCTGGCAAACCCGTGATCCTGCCCCCCCTCCCCGCCGCCTGCTACTGGTCTCATGGTGTTGGCCACGTCCCAGCATGCCCTGGTAGTTGGTTTCTGCTGGCGTGTTGTTGTGTTTGGGGAGAACCGTCTCCACGGGCCTCCGGGCGACACAGAGGAAATGAATTTGTCTCTCGAGCTTGTCAGATTGTTCACACGCCCGTAGGGGATGACACACCTCCCTTCCGCTCCGTGCTTCACCCCACCCACGCACCCGCTGCCTGGGCAATCCCATGGTCCCGCAGGGCACCAGTGCTGGCAGGGGGGTGGGGAATCCCAGGAACGCAGCTCAGCAGGGCAGGCGGCTGTGCTTTGTGCTTGGGTGCCTGCGTTCAAGGAGGTGTGGAGGGGAGAAAGCGGGGACCTTTCAATAAGCACCTGTCTGAATGTATTGGGGAGCTGCAGTTGCAGCGTATGAGTGCAAAGGATGTCTCCTGGCGAAAAGCAGATTGTGAGCACCTGGGGAGATACTTGTGTCCAGAGATGATTTGCGTGCCTGCATGCGCCTTGCATGGCTGTGCCAGCCTCCATGCATGGCCTCTGTGCCTCAGCACATAGACCCCTTGCAATGCCCTGTATTGAGAAGGCTAAAACAGGTGAGGTGCTCCGTGTACACACTGTGCTGTGCGCTTGTGGGGCATTCCAGTGGCTTGTTCCCCCGCTGCCGTATTGCAGTGCAGGCATCGGAGGAGGAGCTTGGCGAGAGGCTGGGAGGAACCGTATGTGGCAATGCACTGCTGAGTTTAACAACCTCTTGTCTCTCCCCACAGCTCAACTACTTGGGGCCACCATTCAATGAGCCAGACTTTGACCCTCCCCGGATCATCGGGGTGGAGGCTGTGCCGAGTGCCACCGTGGACATTCAGGAATGGCACAGCCTGAACGACAACGCCCGACTCGCAGCCAATTACCAGGCGTACAGCCACCTGTTGAGCTACCTGAGGACCATGGATGGAGCAGCCCCGGCTGCTGTGCCAACATTGCGCCACAGCCTCGCCCATTTCCGTGCCAGCCTGCAAGGGCTGCTGGGCTCCATCGGTGGCATCATGGCTTCCCTGGGCTACTCACTTCCGACAGCACAGCCTCCTGCGACACCTGCCCCTCGAGGCAACTTCCTGCGCAAGATGGACGACTTTTGGCTCCTCAAAGAGCTGCAGACCTGGCTGTGGCGCTCGGCCAAGGACTTCAACAGGCTGCGCAAGCGGGTGCCACCTTCAGCCATTGTGCTGCACCTTGACACCAGGGGCTTCTGACCCCTGCTCAAAACTGGTCTTTCCCTGTCTTCGCCTCATCCACTGATGCCATCCTTGTCCTCTTGAGGCTTTGGGCTTCCCAGTGCTTTCCAATCCCCAACCCCTTCCCAGCCCACCTCAGAAATATTCCCACTGTTCCTACACCTTCCTGGTGCAGCTCCACTGCTCTCTGTTACGAAGCAGTGCTTCTGAGCAAAACCCACACTGGTTATTCCATCTCCCTCTCCCTCCCTCCCTCCCTCCCTCCCTCCCTCCCTCCCTCCTTGTGTCCTATATTTCCCTTATTCTTTCCAGAGGGGTCCATTAATTTTCCAGAAGGAGAGGAGAAACCTGTTCCCTCCCACCCCAGTGATGATCAATAAAGCACTGACTGCAGGGCAGCAAACATCTGGCAGCCACCCCCTCTGGCACTCTGCTTCCCTTCCATTGTGCTCCCCCAGAGCCTGGGTTCCTGCGTTTTCTCTCCCACTCCCTCTCTTTCTCCTATTGAGGAACTTCACTGATCAGGCGGTGCTATGGCCAATCAGCCAGCTTGTTCAAGAGGAAGCCCAGGCAGGCCATCTAGTTGGGCCATAAATATGAGGGACAGTCCTGAGCAAAGAGGGCAGATGGGCCTCTGAATATACAGGGCATGATTCAGTGCAGGCAGCACTGAGCTCCTGCCTCCCTTGCTTTCCGCAGTGGCCTTCTGTACATTCACTCCTGCCTGTTGCGTCCAAGCCAACGGCTGCACCCACAGCGGTAGGTGGGGCCCTCAGGCAAGCCAGCCAGCCCCAGCCACGGTCGCCACCTGCCTGCCCGTACCTCTCCCTCCGCGCTGTGGCAGGCAGGCCCGGTGCAGCTGTGTGGTTTACACTGTCACCAGCCAGGGAGGAAGAGGAGGCATTCCTCACGTGTGGCCACATCCCCCACACCCTGGTCCACCCCACCTCTCCTCCCCACTGTCAGGTTGTGTTATTCGCAGTTTGTCCGTATTAATATTTATTTATTTTCAGGTGTTATTTATTAGATTGTATTTATTGCAGAATTTCTATTCTTGTATTAACAAATAAAAGGCTTTCTCCAGGAGCTGCATTCGCCTTATTTTCTCACTGCACACATGTCTGGACAGGCCCCCATCACACTTGCTAACAGATGTGCAGCACAGGGACAGAGGCACTTGGGACACACCTCCAGACCCTGCCGTGCTGGGCTCCCCTGCCGGCCTGCCAGGCCCTCCCCAGGCCAGGCCGTTCTCGCACATACACATTTCGTTGAGGCAGGACCAGCCTAATTTCAGTGAAACGGGGGGAAAGCCCACTAGAGGGAAGGCTGGCTTCCCCCAAACTCCCACATGCACATTGAGAAATCCCCTCTCCCTTGGTGCAGCTGGACTTCTCCACTGATGCCTGTAGAGATCATTTCAAAGCACCTGTGTGGGTGGGGGTGACGTTTGGGGGGGCACTGCTGGGGAGGGAAAGGTGTGTGTTTGTGGTCTGGGCAGTGAGGGACTACATGCCTGCATCAAGGAGCTCCACCACTTGCTTGCCCAGAGGCAATTTGGTCCTCTGGCTGAAAAAAGCTTCCCTTCCACTGATTTAATCCGTGTATGTGCAGTAGAATCCATATAAGTGCTGGAAGACTTTCCCCAGGGGTGGTGCCTGTAACAAGAAGCAACAAAGTGGTTTGTGGCATTTTGAAGACAAATATATTAATTATCATCTAAGCTTTTTGGGACTAGAGGCCTGCATGGGAGGAAGCATGACCTCATCCATCAAAGTTTGTTGCATCCCAAATTGGTATGTTTTTCTTGTTTGGGTTCAAGGCACTTCCTCCAACTGAGGTGCCAGGAAAGGGCCTGCAGCAGAGAAACTCTGAATCCTCCGTGCTGGAGGTTCTCACACGTGTACCCTTTTCTTTCAGCCCATCTGGCCCAGTACTGCTTTCTCCAGCTGCCCTGCAAAGAGAACTTCATTTGACATGGCTGTTGCTGTGGCCACTGAACTTTTCTCCTCTGCCTCCCGCTGAAACCTACTAAGGAGGGTCATTGGTGCCAGCACCGGCATCTCTGAGGGTCTGCACTTCAGAACATTGCAAGAAGAGCAACATACTTCAAAGAGTACATTTCTGAGACGCACGGATGGATGGATGGATGGATGGATGGATGGATGGATGGATGGATGGATGGAGAACTGTAGGGGGTATGAATCATGCTGGTAGAATAATATAAGGGTGACATGAAAGAAGAGGGCAGAAAAGAGTTACTTGAAGGGAACTGGTGGGTAGAACACAAAGGAGACAAGGGTGCTTTTTGATACAACACTGTTAATCTGCCTTACCTGCTTTTGGTTTCTTGGCAGAATTGAAATCGGAGTTCTCTACAATGAGCCTTTCCAATTTTTCTGCTACATGGCTATGCTATAGCAGAATAACTCAATTACATAAGTAGGAAAAGACCTTTTTTGCTTTCAGTATCAATACTTCGTTTTTCCTGCTGTAAAAAAATCTCCAGGAAAGTACTGTTAAGAAACAGAAGTGAAACTGGATTAGAAGTGAAACTGAAGGTGTGATCTCATCTAAAGGGTTCATGGACAACTGAGGGTAAAGAACCAGGAGTGCAGAATTAATCTCTTGCACGAAAGATCTTGGGCAAACCAATCAGTTCTTTTTCATTATCCTCCTTCCTTCCACCATAAGCGCAAGACAGCACACAGGGGTTCCCCTGGTGATCTCCCACTGAAGCACCAACCAGAATAGGTCTTTTCCCTCCTGTTTTTTCTATAGATACAAGCTCAAAGGCTTTTACAACTGCAAAAAAAAAAAAAAAAAAAAAAAATCCCTCCTCACCCCGCCTGGAACGAACAGTAGGGAAGGGAGAAAATTTACTCCCACATTTCTGCTCAGCAGTTGCATCTCCCAATGGCATAGAGCAGGAACGCAGAGGTTCAGGGTCCCAATCCCGCCCTCCGGGGCTTCCTAGGTGGCCCTAAGCTGCTTCCCCAGGCACCACCCTCCTTTTGCCTGATCACAGATCCTTTGGTCCTTTCCTGGCTTTTGTGCACTTTTACCCTCATTCAGAAAGGGTTGCATCTTTTTCCTAAGTTATTGATAGGAAGGACTTCAACCCACAGCATGCTGGTCTTGTAGCTTCACCCATTTTAGCTTTTGCCCCTGCTCACCATGAGCATGCACCCCCTTGCCCCAAAATCTTCTCTGGTTTGTCCCTTGCCTCAGGGAGGTTCTGCACCCCAGCACAGAGCCTCTGTCCATAAAAAGGTAACCGCTCTCCCAACGAAACTTGCTAAGCTTTCTGGAACTGCGGCTCTGTCCCCCAGGAGGCAGTAGCAAAGGAAATGGCTCCAGAGGCAGCTGTCTCTACCAGGAGCAGAAGGGAACAGCTCAAGGAGGAGATGCTTTCCTTCTCCCATCTTGTGCAGAGGATGGGATAGGCTTGCAAAGAAACCCAGCATCAGTTTCTCTTAGGGAACAGTTTTGAGAAGCTGTCTCTGTACTGTCTTTAGTCTTTGGTTTGGGTCCACTGATTCAGAGGATAACCGGAGGCTGAAGCAGATCTAAAGTGAAGGAAAGAGACCCATGTTAATAATGAGGGTGCTTGGATGCCTCTCGCCCCCCATCTTTAGAGTGAATGTTTGAAAGTAGAGCTCTGCCACCAAGTTGAATATGCACAGTTGGATGGTGTTTAGAATATAACAGTAATCTGAAAGTAATTTTGCATAACATGCAAGGACTGTAGTTAATAATATTCATTTATTTATAATATTACATGGTGTTTCTATACTACCTTTTCTGTTTTGCAAGGAACCCAAGGCAGCGTACAGAGGCCTCTTGTACTTGGAGGGAATCAGAGCAGCAGCTGTATATCATAAGGGGAAAGCAGAGCACACTGAGAAAATGGAAGGCTCTCATAAATGGGGTGGCTCATGCTTGGTGCTTGGATCACAAAGGGTAGCCCTCTTTTTGTAGGGGTTCTCTATTTGACGGCCTGCGCCCTCCAAGTCTGGTGTAAAGAACCAGCAGAAGGGAGGGATGAGCCTTGATGTTAACACCTGGCTAGCAGAACAGGCACACATCTGTCCTGTGTGCCCACCTGGACAGATACCGGGTGGGCACACAGGTTACTTGGCTACAATTTATGTACTAGCTATTTATCTGGCGCATGTAAATCCCACCTTTCAAAGAGCCCCAGTTGGTTGGTGTACATCAGGGGTCCTCAAACTTTTTGAATAGGGGGCCAGTGATGGGTGCGGACCGCCAAGGCAGTGCGGGCGGGGGATGCTAACCAGGGGTGGGGGCGTGCAGCAAGGCAGGGGCATGTGTGTGCAGAGGTCCTTTTCTCCAAGCAAGTCCAAAATGATCTCCTTGTGAGCAAGCACGTGTGCATGGCGAGCTAGGGCAGGCTGGATAAATGGGCATGGATCCAGCCCGCAGGCCGTAGTTTGAGGACCCATGGTGTACACGATCCTTCTCCATTTCACCCTCACTCTGAAATAGGTTAGCCTGAAAGTCTGTGATGGGCCCAACATCACTCATGTCCGAGTGGGGAGTAGGACCTGAATTTCCTAAATTCCTGCCCAAGATGCTAACTGCTACACCATAACCTGCCAACAGATCATCGGTTACTGGAGAACTGTTTAACCTTCAAACAGCCCCTGCTGCTCAGTTTCAAGCGCGACCATCTCCCCCGCTGCTCCCAGCACAACTGCAATCACACCCGTCTTCCCCGCACAAGTATGACCGCAATTGCTGGGGGGAGAGACAGGCGCGGTTGCAGTTCAAAATTTTTATGAAATTATTGTTAGTGATCCAATTTGGGTGTGAACTGAGGTGTTTGTGAGCCAAGATACCGCAGTAATGCAAACTCAAATGAGAATAAAGTAGTTCCATGAGAGCTGGAGAGAGGGGGAGAGGTCCTGCGATTTAAGAAAATCAGAAAAGACAGACTCTCCCACTGGGCATCTTGCACTGCAAGTGAGGAGCAGGAACAGACAACATGCTTAGAAGCCAGAGGGGAATCTCTTAGATGTCGCCCTGATTTGGAGATGGCAGAACTCACATTCCGTCCTCAGCCGACACCAAGGGTAAGAGTAGCAGGTGCCCAAATTA